AATGGGATGAAGCTAAGCCCAGTTGCCATGTTTAGGCCGATTTTTTATTATCACTGTACTAATTTTTTATATAATTGATTATATTTGGTTTATAGTATTTCAAAATTTGCTTCAACCCGATCTTACACGTACTTAATAATTCAGTAAATAATAACAATATTTTATAACAGGAATATTAGAGGTTTCGCTGACAACTATTAGAAAGTAATTGAGGTAGACTTGGCTATGTGGTAAATCAACTGTAATCTTATCCACCACATTAGCTTAGAATGTGACTGATTGTTGTCGATTACGGTAGTTACATCTTCTGGTTTCTATATCTATGGTATATTACAATACCCACTTTCTCATGGTTAGTCTCAACGCCAGACAAAATTGTCTGATTGGCGCTAGACCGAGCGGGGACGCCGGCCGTTCGAGCAGAAATTAAGTCCTCTTCATTTTCTGGTGGGACTGAAGACCGAACTGTGACATCAGAGGTTGAACATCGAATCGAGCCAAACTGTTTGTCTGTTTTTGGATTATTTATGCTTTACTACGCAACGAATGGATGAATGGTTTGACTCGAAAAGAAAGCACCACTCAACACGACTCGACGCCCCACACAAACACGTAACGACAACCCTGGTTTTTTTGTGTACTTTTCCAGGGAGACTAACATATAACTAACAAGCGCCACATACACAAATCAAGTCAATTACTGCGTACAGCATTCACTACATTAACAAGCATTTAATGTCGAAAGACAAGAAGATGCAACCCCAACCATAACGAGTTAAGCTTATAGATATTATTAAAAGTAAATTTTTAATCCCTGAAAAGTGTACTTTTAGTTTAAAGTGCATTTTTACGGTTTGAAAACTGTACGCTCAGGTGTTTTTTGTACAACTCGCCAGTGTCTTTGTACATCTAAATGGATTTATTACTAGGTAATACTGATGTATCCGCAATGTTCTGGGCCAAACCTAACCCTAACTGCTTACAACCGACAAAGATGAAAAAAAAATAATAAATAATTTGAAAATTCAGAACAAGACGACGTTCAGGTTTCTTCTTCAATCTACAAATACCTCCAATGCAGCAACGGTATATATGGGAAAAGTGGAGGTCTGGGTTCAACTTCCAACGATGACAGCGTTTTGTTTTGCAAATGCACAAGTATTTGTTTCACCTTTGGGGTCCATGGATGGTCTGAATAATTCGTAGGGGGATTTTTGAGATTTGTTTTAGAAACAATATAAATAGTAAATTAATACTATGGGGCTCATTTTGTTTAAGATAAATTTATTTGTAGATACATTTTAAAATATGTTAATTTCAAATATAATGCAGGACGTGCAATTATAGCAAAGTTTTATTATTTTGGCATCGCTAATAATTGCAAAAAGTGTTGTCCCTCTAGGCAACCATGTCGAAATCAATTAAGGCAAGAATGGACAATTGGGGAAACTCAAGTCTGTGCATTAGCATCGGTCTTTTTCTTAATCTTAATCTTCAGGTCAACTTCAATGACATATATTTCCAATAGGACGGTTGTACATCACATAATATACAGATAGTGATTACCTATCTAAAGCAACCATTTCCTTATTAAGTTATTCGTGCAAGAGACACTATAAATGGCCCACATAATCACCAGAATTAGCACAGTTTGATTTTTATTTTTGGAAAATGCTTGAAAACAATTTATACAGTTAGAGAAATTAAATCTAAAAATTATACAGTTCTTCCAAATCACACCCGAGCCATTCAATGCTCTGAGAATAGAATAAATATTTTTCATTTGATAAGAATATTTAATTATAATTTTTTTTTATTTTTAGTATTTTGTTTTTTTACCAGAAATATTGTTTTATTTTTCATATCTAATGTGACTGTAACAAAATCAAATAAATAAGTTGGGAGATAAATAATATTTTAAAGAATAAAAAAAATATCTTTTATTTTAAATACAGTACGCCAAGATTGAGATGACAAGTCAGAATTAGATGCGCATTGATAAATCTAAAAATGGGAGTTGTTATTTTAGTTAATGGCTGAATTTCGATGCTATTATTTCAGTAAATAATTTAGGTTCATTGGATTAACTGAGATAACTTTCCCAATTTTAGAATTGTCGTACTATAAATATTCGTACTCTTTCAACTGAAGAGATAAGTTTACACCCCAAGTATTTTACAGTAATAAACTTAACTAAACTCAAATTCACACTGGGAGTAATGACTCCCCAACTCCACATTAAGCAAGCCGTCATAGAGTGGGATATAACGCATGTTCCCTTTTTGTAAAGCTCTCATAGTTCTTTCTGTTAATTTGCAATACCCCAAAAAAAAATTGCCTAAATTAATTTATACAATTTTGTTTATATTTATATTTTAAATCTTTTATAAGTATTGAACATTGTAAAAGCACATTGGAATAATTTAAAAAGGACCACAAAAGTTAAATAAGACAAGAAAACTAGAACAAAAATATTTGGGAATATTGAAACAATGTGAAACTATTTTATCAGATGCTTTTGGCAGTAATATTCGTTTAATAATGGCTTTTTACTTTATAGGAATTATGATTTTTTTCGACCTCGAGTTTTTGACGGATTTTTACGTTTTGAGGTCCCCTAATTCTGCTTCGACTATTTTCGCGATGTGTGTGTGTGTGTGTGTGTGTGTGTGTGTGTGTGTGTGTGTGTGTGTGTGTGTGTGTGTGTGTGTGTGTGTGTGTGTGTGTGTGTGTGTGTGTGTGTGTGTGTGTGTGTGTGTGTGTGTGTGTGTGTGTGTGTGTGTGTGTGTGTGTGTGTGTGTGTGTGTGTGTGTGTGTGTGTGTGTGTGTGTGTGTGTGTGTGTGTGTGTGTGTGTGTGTGTGTGTGTGTGTGTGTGTGTGTGTGTGTGTGTGTGTGTGTGTGTGTGTGTGTGTGTGTGTGTGTGTGTGTGTGTGTGTGTGTGTGTGTGTGTGTGTGTGTGTGTGTGTGTGTGTGTGTGTGTGTGTGTGTGTGTGTGTGTGTGTGTGTGTGTGTGTGTGTGTGTGTGTGTGTGTGTGTGTGTGTGTGTGTGTGTGTGTGTGTGTGTGTGTGTGTGTGTGTGTGTGTGTGTGTGTGTGTGTGTGTGTGTGTGTGTGTGTGTGTGTGTGTGTGTGTGTGTGTGTGTGTGTGTGTGTGTGTGTGTGTGTGTGTGTGTGTGTGTGTGTGTGTGTGTGTGTGTGTGTGTGTGTGTGTGTGTGTGTGTGTGTGTGTGTGTGTGTGTGTGTGTGTGTGTGTGTGTGTGTGTGTGTGTGTGTGTGTGTGTGTGTGTGTGTGTGTGTGTGTGTGTGTGTGTGTGTGTGTGTGTGTGTGTGTGTGTGTGTGTGTGTGTGTGTGTGTGTGTGTGTGTGTGTGTGTGTGTGTGTGTGTGTGTGTGTGTGTGTGTGTGTGTGTGTGTGTGTGTGTGTGTGTGTGTGTGTGTGTGTGTGTGTGTGTGTGTGTGTGTGTGTGTGTGTGTGTGTGTGTGTGTGTGTGTGTGTGTGTGTGTGTGTGTGTGTGTGTGTGTGTGTGTGTGTGTGTGTGTGTGTGTGTGTGTGTGTGTGTGTGTGTGTGTGTGTGTGTGTGTGTGTGTGTGTATTCCGGCGTCCAATAACCTGATTAGATTTTAGGCAGAGTCGGAACATCCGGGGGGTAATTTATAGGTGGTAATTTTTATATTGTATGGAATATATCTGTTATTTACGTTTGGAGCAGAAAATTCTTAAATTAAAAGTTACTTTTAATATCATTATCTATATTTTGGTTCTTTACAAAATTTTCCTTAAATGGTCCATATTCAAGAAATTTGACAATATGTAAAAAAAATAATTTTATATAAAAATTGTTAAAACAAAAGTTGTTTGTAATATAATTCGCTATAATTTTTGTCATTTACATAATTTCTCTGAAATACACCGTATTCGATATATTTAAGAAAATGTGTAAATTTCGAATTTTGAAGAAATCTCAAAAACGGATAAAGAAAAAACAATAAATTTTAAACTTAAGTTTTATTTCGGCCTGACGTGAAATGATTAGATTTTGGACAAAGTCGGAACATCTAGGGGGTACTTTATGGGAGGCCATTTTTATATTTTATGGAATATATCTGTTATTTATGTTTGGAGAACAAAATTGTTCAAATAAAAGTTACTTCTAATATTATTATCTATAATTTTTGCTTTGTCAAATATTCCTGAAATGGTCCGTATTTGAGAAATTTGACAAAATGTGCAAAATTCTGATTTTTGAGAAAATTGTTGAACTAAAAGTTGTTTGCGATTTGGATCTCTATAATTTTTGTTCATACAATTATTTTTCTAAAATGGACCGTAATGGAAAAATTGGAGAAAAAGTGCTAAATTTAAATTTTTCAGTATTTTCGTTTTCAATGAATATCTATAGAAAAATGTTTCGAGGGAGATGTATGTAGAAAATGTATATATTTAGTTTATCCTCTAAACATTTATAGGGGTGTTGCAATAGGTTGTACAAAATAACCGGAAAAAGGAACTAGATAGGAAAGTTATGTGTTGGACACATCAGATTTTTAATTACAATTTTCTTCACTGTGTGATAAAATAGATGAACGAATATTTCCTTGTATAAATAAATACCATTATTGATTGTTTTTACGTATTTAGGATTAGAAATTCCAATGCGTTGTTATTATCCATTGATTTTATTCTATTTTTTATAAATTTTTATAATTTTTTAAATTTTTTATTTTAAAATTTTAGCTCGTTACGTTTGTTAAAAAATGTAAAATTTATCTACAGACGATTTTATTTAAACTGCCCTTAAATAAATTTAATATTTATTATTGACAATAGATCTTTATTTTTTATACCCACTAGTAAACAAAAAACATAAAAATAATTAAAAACAATAATTTTAAGTAGTTAATGAAAATAATAAGAGCGAACTTCCATTATATATTAATGATTAATAACCGATTTTATTGAAATTAATTTATTGTCATTCAGTTGAAAAATTGTATTTTCAAGTTTTCAGTCTTATGTTCCATATCAATACTATTAAAAATAGGTAATTTCAAGAAGAAATATTTAGGTAATCAGGTATTTATAATGTTTCAATAAGCATAACATACAGAAAATATTGTTTAATAATTTTTAAATAATAAATAATTTGTATATCATTGAAGTTCTGCTACTGACAAACTTTTTTATAGTTTAAAAAATTTGGCAAATTCGTATTTTGTAATTTTGTAGTTTCAATGAGGCTTCTTTTCTCTTTAATGATGCTTGTGGCCAATCGTCATTCCACCATATGGAATTAACAACTACATGTTGACTTGGGCGTCGTTTGAGAGGGGGGGGGAGCAAAGGGGGGCAGTTGCCCCCACTGGCTTTTACGACTTTAAAACGCGTAATGGCTGTATGTCACAATACTAAATTAAGTACTAAAATTTAGCCCTAAATTAAGTTATTAAGTTATTAATTTAGAACCAAAAATATTCTTTTCTTTTGCAGCGATACCAATTTTTAGTACTAAATTGAGTATAGGCGCACGCGCATTGACGTATTATTACGTGAATAGCACAGAAATTAAATATTCTGTCTAAATAAGACAAGTTAATTAAAAGATGTTTTTAATATCGGGTCGGTGGTGTAGCGGTCTAACGCGCTTATATTCATTTATAAGCAAGTTTATGTGTCAGAGACTGCTGGGCTTCGAATTCCAGACCAGACCATGTGGATTTTTAATTAAATTGCATGGTTCGGTATAGGATTTGATGTGTGCCGTATTAATAGAAATTTAATTTCTGTTGATATGACATGCGGATTATAAAAAATCGCCATACATTACCGTCTCGATGATGGTGGGTGAGGTTTTCCGGGTTTTCCTCACCTGTAAGTCAAATAGCACCATCAATCATCTTTAAGTCACCCCGGAGCGCCACGGCAAATACTAATAATAGTCATCTCTTTCCCCCCGCAAGCTCAGCTTTTGGGGTTAAAATTCACTCGTAAGGGGTGAATTAGGGAGAGTATTATTATTATTATTATGATTATTATTATTATATGACTTTGACACTAGTTGACTTGACAACAATCAAATGCAGCAATGCTACAAAAAAACACAATAAAACCTACAAAATCAAACACGAGCGAAATGTGTCCAACGCGATAAAGCAATAACAATTGCTGTGTTGTAAATTATAAAAATTAAATCAAAGAAATAAATGGATAGCTGTACACTAAGAAGAAAAAAACCTTTATTTTTGTAATAATAACAGTAATACTGGAAATAGTAGAAAACAGAAAATTGAAAGGTTTTAAATAAACAATAAATTATTATTTTACAATGTTGTTCAACATCCCTTAACTCTTAAATGGTGAACAAGGGTTAGATTTTTGCCTTTGATTATTGTATGTGGCAAAAATAAAATCTTGTGACTTATTGATAGGAAACCACTTTAAACATTAATTTCTATGAACTTTAAACATTAATTTCTATGGGTTCTCTAGAACCAAAACTAAAGAAAATATAAACTGCAATTGCAAATTTACCAATTATTTTTGTTAATACGTTTTGATACTACGTTATTTTATAATGGTGATGTTTTTATTTTTACAATATTTAACCTTTTCCTCAATGACAACTTATAAGGCAACATATCATACATTTTTTCGTATATATTGTTGCCTGTCTATGTTTTATTATTGATTTTTATTGATTATACTACTTTTTTAGCTAAAGTAATAAAAATATATAATATTTATTAATTTTTTCACCTGTTTTACAAATTTATATACTTTTATTAAAATAAACACATATATTTTTTAATTAGAAATTCCATTAAAAATTATATTGTCAGTATACGCAAATATCGTCCGTTAGTTCACAAATTAGTTGGCGCTGCTGTCACGCACAAAAAAGAATCGCAAAAAACTAAAAAGAAATCATGTTTTCTGTTATCAATTATCTTAGGTAGAGGCAGAAGAAATTAAAAATATTCGTTTTCCTAGTGTTCGTCGACGTGTTTGAGTGAGTTTTTTGTTTTTGTGTTTCTATAAATATTTTATTTTTTTTTATATTATGTTCTTGTTCAAATGTTTCTTTTATATCACACCTTCTGTTTGTTTTTTAAAAATATGTGTCTTAAGTTTCTTTTTTTCTATTTTAGTTTTTGTCTTTTTTGTTGGGTTATTTTATTTATTAGAAACTTTTGTTAATTTGTATTGCTCTTTTATTTCTCATTTTCTCTATTTTTCAACAAATAAACATTCTAAATTTTTTAAAAATTTTGTCCTTCCCTATAGAATTGTATAACGACGCCCATGCATGATGATATTGCAAATAATCGAATGCAATTTGAGGATTCTGGTTTATTTTAGTTTCTAACATGAACTTTTTTATAGTTAAAAACCTTATATTTAACATCCTTAAAATAGTAACAATCTGCTCGATAAAGTAATAATTTAGTACTGGATCTCCCAAACAATAATCCCATTATATATTTTTTTTTACTTTTATCATGTAATTTATTGCTTTACAGCAATGTTTTATGTTTTACTAAATCTGAAATATTTTCTAATATTTATTAAATTTTTTGTTTTAGTTCAGTCATGTTGCCTCCACTTTTTGAGATGGAAGATTATGAAAGCTGTATTAAACAAGGCAATTTATATTGTAAAGTAGATGCAGTTTTGAAAGTCCCTTTTAATAACACGAGCGTTCAGAGAGAAATAAATGTAAGTATTAATTATTTATAGCCTTCAAAGTATATTTTAATGGCTTTTACAAAAAGCAAAATATTGTTATATAGGTAGTTGATTTGAACATTAATAAAGAGTAAATTTACAGAAATGTTTTGAAATAATTTTAAAACGTCTTAATTTAAAAGAAAAACAAAAGTGTACATAATTAATCTAAAGTTATTCTTATATCTCATCCAGTAACTGGTAATAAAAGCAAAGACATAATGCAAATCTTACATTATATAACAATAAAGAAAATGATACAGGGAAATTCGGGTAACTGTTCGCAAATTTAAAATTTGTTTTGTACAACTTTTGTAAATGGGAATCGCCGAGAGGCTTAGTAAATAGCTTAAAGTATACCCTACATTATGGCCTATATTAAACAAATCATTTAAATAAATTAATATCCCACAATATTTTTTAAAAATTTCTACACTGTGTACAGTTAACGTACATGAATGGGGTGATTAGACGCATATAGCGGGTGAATTGGCGCGTCACCGGGTGAATGTGCGCTTCACACCTTGAATATTTTTTTCTTGTATATTAATAAAAAAACACATATATTAATGTGCAAAACTAATGCTTTAATTCTGAAACAGTTACATATAAAATATGCTTAACAAATATTTGAAAAGAGAACTAAAAACATTAAATTCTTTGAAAAAATAAAAGGTATTCACTGCAAAGAGCGTGAGTCCAATTCTAACGCGAACAGTTGAATCCTAGACAGGCGCAATATTTGTGAAGAATTGTTATCAACTTTTTAATAGTTTAAAAGTTACAGAAAATTCTCTAATCTTACAAAGTGTTTACATTTGGTTAACAGTACAAGTAGTGCTTCTTATAATTTTAAAAATTGCATCATAAACCTGAGTTTGTGTTTACCTGCATATATCAAGGTCAGTCAAAAATCAATAATTTCTACTCCCACTATGTACAGCTGTGCAAATTGTTCAAAGACAATCGCCGAGCGAGAATCAAAAATTCAGTGCGATGCCTGTAAGCAAAATATTCACTTAGCGTGTATTGATTTGCGAGCAAAAGATCGCGTTACTAGGCACAAGATGCGTGGTATAAAAATTATGTGCAATACTTGTACATATAATTTTGATTCTTTTGCTAGTCTTTAATCAAAGATTGACAAGATAGATGATAAAACTACCGTTATAAATGGGAAGCTAGAAGCAATTGAAATTAAACTATCTACAGTTGATTATTTTTCATCCCCGCAGTTTACTAATAAAATTGCAAATGAAGCAGTTGATCGCATAAATCGTGCGAGAAATGTTTTTATAAGAGGTGTACCAGAGATTGTAGGAGATGTCCAAACTGAAAAAGATCATGATAATTATATTATCCAAGACATTTTGCACACTGTAGAATCTGATCAGAATCCGGTTACATTTTTCCGCGTTGGCATGACCATACCAAATTTACTAAAATGATTAAATTGATAATGCATAACGAATATGACGCAAGGCATATTTTGCGAAACAAAAAGAAACTTCTAGAAAAAGCATCCACTAAAAAAATAACTATTGTCGATGATAAAACGCCGAATCAAATTGAATGCCTAAAAGAAATAAGTACCGAACTTGAGTTAAAGAAAAATAATGGAGAGCAGGAGTTAACTATATAATATACAAGGTGTCCCAAAGATCGTGAAATTTCGTCAATAATTTCGATAAATTTTGTTTTTACGACTGACTATTTTTATATACGAACTTGGCAACCCTCTTCTATCTATCTTTTTCTGTTGTGGACTTTAATTCTGCCCAATTGTCACCCTCGTAAAATATAAGCGATAAAATAATATTGTTAATCTAGAATATCACAAAAATTTTTTCAAGGACCTAAAGAAATTTATAAATGAGGCCCGAGAAGAATATAAAGAGTCGATAGCATGCAGCCAAAACTGTAAAAAATTATACAAATATATTAGATCTTCACTGTCATCAAAAGTATCCATTCCATTACTAAACAAAGGAGATGGAAGTCCCTGCCCAAATAATTTTGAAACGGCTGATTTTTTAGCTAATACCGTCACAAAAGTTTTCACCAGTGAACCTCCCCAGGATCAGTTACCAGATATCTCACCCGAAAGAATCCCTTCTTCCTTAGAGCGGCTCAATTTCACTCCTGAAATTGTCGAACGTCACCTTTTAAAATTAAAAAACAGTTCCTCTCCGGGTCTAGATCAAATATCTTCTCTATTTAAAAAAAATGCTCTAATACCATATCAGTTCCTTTATCTATTATAATGTCTTTGTCTTGCAATACACACATATTACCTTATATCTGGAAAACAGCTTCTGTAACATCCATTTTCAAGAAAGGAAACAAACTAGACTCTAATAACTACCGCCCAATCAGCCTCACACCCATAATCTGTAAAGTTATGGAATCCATAATAACAGAGCACGTTTCTCGGTTTCTCTTAGCGGAAGAAATCATTCCCAAACAGCAACATGGATTTGTAAAAGGACGATCAAGCATGACCAATTTGCTTTGGTGTGTAAATAAGTGGACAGTTTCATTAGGCAGGAAAAAACCTACAGACATTATTTACATGGATTTTGCGAAAGCCTTTGATCGTGTGCCGAAACGAAGATTACTACATAAGTTAGAACACCTTGGTATACGTGGTGATTTACTTAAATGGATCGAGTCATTCTTAACTGATAGAAAGTACTGTGGAAAAAGTTGGAAATTCGCATTCACTTGAAAGACCAGTCTTGAGTGAAATTCCTCAGGGATCAGTTCTGGGTCCACTCTTATTTATAATATATGCCAGTGACCTTCAATTTCATATCAAGTGCAACAATATTTTATACGCAGATGACAATATTTAGTGTCCCGTCTTTAAACTTCCAACAGCTTCAAGACCTTGACTCCATCTATAACTGGTGCTCAGATTGGATGCTACCTCTAAATACAAATAAAAGTGTAGTTCTCCATATTGGTAAAAATAATCTTCGTCATAATTAATTTCTAAACGGCCATACGTTAAATAAAGTTAAAACTTACAATGATCTAGGTGTTATAATTACTAAAAACCTCAGCTGGTCTGAGCACGTTCTTCAAGTATCAAAAAAGGCGAACACAAAAATGTACTTATTAAAGAAAACATTCGCAAAAGTGTCTTTTCAATATTCGATCCGGCTGTATAAATTTTACATTCGTCCGATCATCGAGTACTGTGGAGCTGTGTGGTGTCCGGAACTAGTGCGGGATAAAAATATTCTTGAAAATGTGCAGCGCCGATCAACCAAACTATTTTTCGGACGTATGAGACCTAATTACGCAGAGAAACTACATATGGCTAAACTACAAACGTTTGAAAATCGCTGTCTGCGGAGTGATATGATAATTTGTTTTCGTATTTTAAAATATAATTTTGTAAATTTAAAATGTATGTTCAACGTGGACAGTGAAAATCGACTACGTGGCCATAAATGGAAGCTGAAAAAATAACAATTTTTTACGAAAACGAGGCAAAATTTTTTATTTAATCGAATATTCTACACTTGGAATTCTCTACTGGAGAATGTTGTGAATGCTCCATCTGTCAATATTTTCAAGAACGAAATTGATAATTTTCTATTTTTTAATTAGCATTTCATTTGTTTCATTGTTTATTCATCGGTTGTACCTGTTATTGATTTAGTTTTTAGTAATATTGTTTTATATTCAGTTAATATGGGCTTATGGGTCTTATGGCCCCTGCTCTTATCAAATTATAATAATAATAATAATATTAATAACATATAGTGCACCTATACCAGGTTTCAGATTTCAGGGGCCACTCTCCACATATTAAACACTGATTTTCATCAACATCTGGATAATCATAGCATTGTTCATCATTGTAAAGCATACTGTAACTGTCAATAGATTTAACCTCGCTATCACTCTCTTCGAACAGTTGACTTTATACGTTCTTTCATTTCTTGGATTTTGTTTTGTTATTGATTTTTTTAATATTACTCCGGCGATCAAAATCTCTTTGACGTTCTGTTTTTTCCTTTCTGCCTCTTCTAACTCGTCCTTGTTTGGTGTTGGTGTCAGTATGATATTTTTCTGTTTATTTTTTCTTTTATACTTACTAGTGCTGCTAGTACTGGGGATGTGAGATAAAGTCTCCGCTGTTACATGTTTAACTTCTAATCGTTTGGAAATAGGTTTTGAAGGTGAAATTCTACCTGACCCTCATTCAGATGCCCTCTCAGAACTGCTACTTGTCAATGATTCAGTAACTAGAGTCTGGATTTAACTTGATGTTCGATGCAATGTTGGCTCCAATATTTTGCTTGTCGATGGTTGACTTTCTGAATTTAAAATCATAGACGCATCATTTGGCTTGGAAGAAATATTTTTATTTTTCTTGTCAGGTGATATATTTTCGTCATTAACAGGTCAAAATTGGGATGCTGGTGCAAAGTCTTCCAAAGTAAATTTTTCTGACTGGGAGTGGTATATACCTGCAGACCTAAACCCAGATATCGCTATTTACATCGTCGCTACTTTGACAAAAGCTTTATTGAAAATTTCAGCTCAATCATACATTGTAATTCTTTCATGACTTCTCAAAAACAATTCGCATTCTTGATTGAATGCTGATTTCAAAAGGCCGAAAAACGTGAGATCTAGAGGTTGCATACGATGTGAGTTATGCCAAAGTAAAGTAAGGAGGACGATACCCGTACTTTTACAGAGGTCGTATATCGTCAAGGAAATATGGCTTAAGCGATTGTCCAAAATCACAAGGACAGGATTCATTACAGTTGGTTTAACTGATAGGGAAAAATGTTGAAGCCAGTCCATGAATAAATTCTCGTTGCTCCAACCTGACACTGAACAAGAAAATAGAGCTCCACTTGGGCCATTTTCGCCAAAAGGTTTGTTATACGCTTTCGAGAAAAAAGGGAACATTGGTGCTATGTAACTACCAAGAGCATTACAACAGCAAATTACTGTTACATTTTTTCCTCTCTCTGCCGAAGTCTTGTAACCAAGTTGCTTTATTCTCTTTGGAGCCAAACACTTAACCGGTTTCTGAACGAATTTTACGGATTTCTGGTTAAAAGCTTTGATTCGATTAACACTAGTGGCCTCAGGTTTCCGAAACGTTATATTTGGATGTCTTTCCATGAAATTGTAGTACCAGTCTTTCCCAGCTAGTTTTCTTTCCTTATTAAATTTATGGCGAACATTATTAACTTCCGCATATTGGTATGCTAGTTTTCTAAGCTGAATTGGATTTAATCCGTAAAACATTTTTGTCACTTTAATGACGTGATCTGTCAATTTTTGCTCTTCCTGCATAGTAAAAGTAACTACTTCACCCAGGCACATAGGCTGATACCTTTCCTCTTCCGATAATTTTAGTTTTTTTCTGATTGTTGATTCCAGAATTATATGTTCTTCGCCAGCAGATTGTATAGATCATTCATTGGAAATTTCTATAATGGCATTTTGCAACTGCTCTGCGGTCCATTTTCCCTTCTTAGTTTTTCTTTGATATTTTCTCGGCATCTAAAATATAATATTTTCACATTAAAAAACCTACACAAGAATTTTAAACTTTAAGTCAAGTAACTGTGCACAAGCACAGTCACCCCAACAATCATGCGCATAAATACCCGATCAGACAATTTTTCTAACTTTGCTTCCTTCAACAAAAAAAAAAAATAAAAAAAAAAATGAAAACTAATAAAACAATAATATTCAAGGAAGTTTAAGCTTTTGTTTGATACCAAATTTATCCAGATTAAGTAAAAAATAGCGTACTTACGGCTTGTTATATTCTCCAGCAAAAAAAGACAATTTAACCTCATAAACCCAAATAACCAAGTGTTGGCTTTCTAAGTTATGATCGCAAGAGACATGTAAGTTAGGAGTTTGGCGGTTTATCTATAGATGGCACCACGTTTCGAATTTCAAACAATAAATATTATGGCGGTATTTAGGTGCGCACAGTTTCCCACCCGAATTTCCCTAGGTATATAAAAACCTATAAACAAATAAAACTAAAAAATAGTAACAAACAATAGTAACAAATAATAGTAATAAAGAATAGTAATAAACAATAATATTGAACAATAGTAATAAATAATAGTAATGACCAATTGTTATAAACAATAGTAATAAATAAACTAAAATTAATAAATAAACTAATAGTAGTAAATAAAACAACAGTAATAAACAAAAATATTTAGCAAATCATAAAATAGTCGCAGCCAGCCGTTACAACTGAACGTTGGGTAGGCCTCAAATAATGGAAGTCACTAGGAAATCATACCTTAAATTTTCACAAATAAAAAACAAAAAAGGTCATTAGCTTATAATACACCAGGCCCTTAGTACTTAAATGCAATTTTGTTAATGAAAAATGTATAATTTGACGTAAGAGAGCCAAATTGGTCAACAGACAACGGGACAAGAAAACGACAATGACGCGCCGCCATGCGGCCCGCGAGCCATTGTTGTATCGGAGAATCGAGAATTTCGAGGAGCAGTATCGTGTGGTGTATTTTCATATAAAAAGCGTGACTGCTGTTAAATTGAAGGCGAAAGAAAGTTAAAGATAGACAGTCCGAATTGTTAAATAAATTAGATTATAAGCGTAAAATACAAATAGTGCTTGGGGTTTTCTCGCCACAGAGAAAACGGTTCCTTACGAATGGCGCTGGTTACGGGAGGTTCTCGAGCGCCAGATTTTTGGGTATGGTTTACTCTACAAACTCTCGAAACGGCGTCGAAAGTACTCGGGTAGCTACAGATGGAGATGAAAAAATCCAGGGATCAAAGGTCACTTAGACACAAGTAACGGGCTTTAATCGTTGCTTGTGTTGGTAGAGAATGTATCGCTAGTTGAAATACAAGGGGGAAATAAAGTATGGAATTTGTAACCAGTAATACGGGAAGTTAACATTGACACATATATTGTGAATAACTATTTACAAAATAAAAATTATTTATTTCAACGCCCACCCTCGTTGTGATGACAGTCAATATAACCCTGAACAAACAAAACAAAAAAAACTGACGGTATTCAATCCCGGCTAGTTTCAACCAGATGTCAAAATCGAATTAAAATAAAATGAGTATTTCGGTCACAGGAAAAATTAACTGGACTACTTGGTCGGTAATTAAACTAAAACATAATTTTCCATTTCGGGAAGCGAAAATTCTAAGAGCGGTCGTAGAAAAAATTAACTATTAAGCTGTCGTATCGGGATTTAAACTAAAATGTAGGTACTTTACTATTTCGGTTAGGAAGAATTATCTGAACGGTCACAGAGAGTACGAGGAGACAGGGTCGTGAAACAACTACTTATTGTAAATATTCGGAAAGGGAGAAAAAAAAATTAATTTATACCCGGGGTAGCCTATTATCCCAGAATAAGCTGATCGTCACCACAAGCCCGCTCAGACAGGGTAATAAAGCTATTTAAGATTTCTGTAATTTGCAATTTGCACGAAAAAAATAAAGAATACAAAGGGAAAAAAAAAACTAACGCGGATAGCACCTAATCCAAGAATGAGCTGATCGTCATCACGAGCCGGCTCAGACAGGGTCAGGATACTAAGTAAGGTTATTTAAATTGACGGTAAAAGAGAAAACAAAACTATTATCAGAGGGAAGAAAACTACTAACGCGGATAGTACCTACTCCACGAATGAGCTGATCGTCATCACGAGCCCGCTCAGACAGGGACAGGATACTATTTACGATTATTTAAATTTGCGGTTCGCACATTAACTAAAAAAATAACGCGGATAGTACCTAATGCAAAAATGAACTGATTGTCATTACGAGCCCGTTCAGACGGGTACAGATGCTATTTAAGATTATTTAAATTTGCGGTAAAAAAATAAACAAACTATTAAAAGAGGGAAAACGTCTCCTCGAAAACTTCGTTTCTAAATATTCCCAAGTTATTTATAACGCGCACTTACTAAATAAAAGTATTTATCAATAAAATCAAATTTAATTGCCGATTTAACCTACCAAAAAAAAAGTTTAATTTCTTAGGTCAGACTAACTATCAAATGTCTAAATCAACGGTATTACAATTTTAAAGAACTAAATCTTATCATTTATTATTTAAATCAAATGCAATTCCCTTTAAAGAAACGGTATTCTATCTTTAAAGAGCTAACTTCTAATATTTATTAATTAAATCAAATTAAATCTTTCTCCCAACAATATTTTTAAGAACGGTATTATATTTGCCAAGAAATAAATTCTAATATTTATAATGAAATGAAATTATATCTTTTAACTCAACACTGAATAAAATGTTCCTATTTCTAAAAGATAATTCGGTTTTTAAATTAAATACGATCTTAATATAAAACGTTACTTCTATAAAACTATGAAAGTAAAAACGAAACAACCTTTTTTTACCTAGCGGATTTATAAACACGATACGAAAAATTTATCGACGGCGGACCTAATAGAGAATGCGGCTTTTACTTTTAACTGGTTGAAATCAAGTTCGCGGCTAGAAAATATCGCTTTAAAATTGTATTTCTCGCGAGCAATATCGGAATCGTGGAATATAGATATTAGTATAGATGTATAAAAAAAAACTTTCAGTGTTTTAGAAAGTTTATAATTTACCTTTCTAAAACACTGACAGTTTTTTACCTACATCTACCGAGATCTATATTCTGCTATTGTGAACCCACAAAATGTTGGTCAAGAGCCGCCCCTGCTACCAAAGTACCTAATCAGTACAGCAGGTAACATAGTTTACTAATTAGTGGCACTAGTTCATGTTGCAGTTTCCGATAAAGTCGTTCATGGCACTTGGGATTGCACAATTATACTGGGTTGTCTTTCTTAAAATGTTTCCCGTAGGCACGCATGTCGATTCTAGGTTCTGCTTTGTCGCTGGTAGCTTTTAGACCTTGGTCCTGACATAGCATACATCACAATTTTTACACCAATACGCTACATCCCGTCGGCAATTGACCCAATAAAATCTTTCCGGAACTCGTGCCAGTGTCCTTTTAGTACCAAAATATCCTCCCAAACGGATGCTATAAATCTCCTTCAACACATAGCTGACATGTGATTTCGTCAGTACCACTTGGCGGGCTACATGTTCTCCATTGGAGTTCTCCCACTTCCGGTGAAATAGGCAATCCCACTGAGTCCAGTACCCTTTATTATCTTCACTGTATTTGACTATCTCTTGCCAAGTAGGTGTGACTTCATTTTTGAGCCATTCTCGACAACCTTCAAGACATTGACTTTATTATTTTTGTTTCTATGTATAAATATTCCTATATTAAATTTTAAATAATTGCAGATATAAATATTTTCCGGACCCAAGCAAAAGTTGCAAAATTAAATTTAGTATTTTATAAATTTAAGAAATATACCAACAAAGTTTAAAATTTTTTTACTTAATGTAAATTGATTATCTTTAATAACTAGTCTATTGTGTCAAAATTGTATTAAAAGTAATGAGGTAATGTAATGTCAGTTTGCTGAAAACATAAATTTTGTGGTGAGATTCCGAAGCTAAAAACCAAACAAATCAAAGGATACTAAATAGGGAAAATGGAAATCGAACCCACGTTTTTGACATTCCTATCAATATGTTAACTGCTAGACCATAAGAAGGCATGTATACTGCGATCTAGTAATAATATTCAAATTATAACTCGGAAATTGGATTTTTTTCTAGTTATATACAAGGTTATCGACAATTGCACGTCACAATATAGAAGAAAAGTCCCTTATTTCTTTTCTAAACTACCCGGTAAAAAATTATAACAAATCTTTTTAACAATTACCTACTTATGAACATTCTTACTAATATCAAGTTTTGCTTTTTTATATTTTTTCTTTTTAGGAATATGTTTCAAATCATGATACATTTGATCGCAGCGTCATACATAGAGCAATATGTCTACCAACACAAAGTTTGTCTAGTAACGAACCTCTTGAGAAGCAATTATCAGAACTTATAAATATAAAAATAGGAAGTTATAATTTGACTACGGAAGTTGATTATCACGTCTGTTCAAGTCAAAATATTCCAGTAACGTTATTTGATAATATCTATTTGTAAGTATACTAAATAACTAACTAGATAGTGTCTGGTAGCTTAGATATAATTGACTGAAAGATTAAGGAGTTTTGTTAGAAACTTTAAACTTTGCGTTTTAGAATACTAAGGGTAATAGCAACAGGTTTTCTAAATCAATCTTTACTCTACTTCTTATAGATTATTTTATTTTTTTATTTTTAATAATCCCAGTGCGTTTATTCCAATAGTTTTATTCAAAAGTATTTTGACGTAGATTTAATAGTCGTATTTATACGATAAATTACTTAATTTGATTTGATTTGTTGTTTGAAAAATTGTAAGAAAACGAAATTATATTTATAATATTTTATATAAATTATATCAACGTTTGTGTCACAACCCTTCATCCTTTCTTGGAATTATTATGTTTGATAACTGAAAATTTTTGTTTTAGATATTCTTATGCTGCCTACATTGTTTTAGTTTTATTTGCAACGTTTTATGAAGCTGTAACTAAAACATCATCTAAAGGTTAGTAATAGCTTATTTCAACAAATAGATACTTTTAACGAGATAACTATAGTAGTTTGTGCAACAAGAGTGGATATAAACAATCCACTTGAGTTGTACAATATATTTTTTCTACGACCCACTAACGAAAATCTACAAATATTACAAATTATTTTAGGTTATTAAGATAACATAATTAATTTAAAAATAATTTATGACTTTTACTAATTTATAGAATGAAATAAACAAGAAAATAAAAATAAAAAAAATAAATTTTATTTTTCTTCATGTGAAATTCAAACTCAAGTCTTCCGTATGAAAGGCAAGAACGCTAACCCAGGACCATCTACACGTTTATATTCTTTTGCTTTATTACTTTTAATTAACTTCTTATAGTTTTATTTAAATTAACAAACCATTTATAATTATAGACGAAATAAATCATCAAACATACTATGCAAATCTGCTGTATAAATGTTAAAAAGCACAAGAGAAAGCACATACCCTTGTGGTAAACTATCATAAATAACTCTTGGCTCATGTAACACATTTCTATGATCTCTGATATATATTTTTCTATTTCTGTAAATTTCAATTATACTTGCGGCTATATTCGCGTCTGTACTGAACAAAAATATTTTTTAATGAAGCAAATCCAAGTTTACAGAATCATATGCTCCTTTAATGTCCAAAAGTAAACATACGAAGAGTACTTATAATTTTAAAGCAAAAAGTAAGATGGTATTAGACTATGAGAGATTTAATAAATGTTCCTCCATTGTTATTGATAGAGCCTGAACTATCTTTTTGATGTATTGTTTATACTTCTGTCTTTCGGTAATGTTAAAAAAATATCAAAATTTATACAAATGTCTAAAATTAAGATGTAAAATATTGTAATTATTTACTTGTTGTTACCAAATGGCTGTATCATCTTAGCTATGTAGGCCAATAAATTATACAAAAAAAAAAATTAAAGGAATTGAAGTTGGATTAATAGGACTCTTAAAACAAATCAATATCATATGTTCTGTGATAAAATGCATTGTACATCAAGAGGCCTTGTGGAAAGCCCTCAAGTTAAATAAAGATGATGAAAGTGGTTGTTAAAATAACTAACTTATATTATATTCATATTCGTGCTTTAACTCACAAAATATCACGTGATTATTTACCCTAAGTAGATGCTACACATGGGGAAATAATAGGAGAACACCAATATTTGTTGGTTAAGCGCTGAAAACTGCAATGTTTCTTCGTTCTATGCAAGGAGGTTTCCATTTTCCTTAAAAGTCAAACCTTACGGAAATGAAAAATCAAATTGTAGTTGCAAAATTTCTATGAGACGTTGTATTTGTAACAGACTTGATATCTTACCTTAACGAACTAAATTTGAAGCTACAAGAAAAGCAGCAGAATATTGCCAATTTATATAGCCACATAAGAGTATTTAAAAATACAATTAAGCTTTTTAAGTCTTCATTGTAAAAACATTATTTTTATTTTTTCCTAGTTGCAAAGAGAACACTCAGAAAAAATTTGTTTTGTAGTTAATGAACAACTGATTTATTTACGAGTGGTACTTTTATTATTAACGAGATTGGTTTTTATAAACATTTTGTATTTATATATAAAACAAGTAGATACTATGTTTGTAAGGGCTCACTAGTACCAAAGTCGCAGTTAGATGGCGCTACCTGTCAGTGGTAGAGAATTGAAACTCTGCTAAGTGGTTTGCGACTCAACTAAGCGATCCAAGATGGCGCCCATCGTTTACGTGACGGAACGTAAATTGACTATGGCGATGACTAATGAGGACGTACGACAATAAACGAGAAGTATTTATTTTTAATATTCTGTTATTATTATTTAGCGACGAAGAATAACAATAATATACAACAACACAACAACAAATAAGAAGTATTTTATTATCTTGTTAATGATATTAAACGCCTCTTTTATCAAACTCGTTAATTCTACGTCTATTCTCTTCGCTTGACATCTCGATAATGATTAAAATTTAATAATTGGTGCGAGTTACCTCATCATTCTTCGTTTAAATCTGACCAATAATAGGAGTTACTGTGCGTATCTTTTCTCGTCATCGGTAATTTTCTCTACTCCTGCCGTTTTCCTTGTTTAAATCCGACCAATAGTAACCGAGTTACATGCTTAGGTCCTTTGACACTGCGCATTATTTTTCTATTCAACGTTCTCGAGTTCTCTACATACTGCCGTTTTTCCGTTTAAATCCGACCAAAATTATCCGAGATACACGTGTAGGTCCTTTTGGCGTTGCTACTGCGCATGATTTTTTCCTACAATCTTATTCTATATCACGTTCTCTACATAATGCCGTTATTTTCATTTAAATATGACCTATAGTAGCCGAGACACATGCTTAAAGTTCTTTTGACATTGCAATAGAGATTTTATTCCCCACATTCATCTTTCCACCCCCCCCCCCCCCATTCCAATCTGACCAAGAATAAAGAAGATTTAATTTTTAGGTCATTTTGGCCTGTTACTACGCATGATTTTTCTTTCTAACTTCAATTTACGTTACGTCACGTAAACGATAGCCGCCATCTTGGATCGCTTAGCTGAGTCGCAAACCATTTAGTCGAGTTTCAATTGTCCACCACTGACCTGTGGCGCCATATAGCGGCGACTTTGATACTAGTGAGCCCATACAAACATAGTCTATCTACTAACTGTTAGCTTACTTATTCAAAATAAATGCTTTATTAGTAATCCAACATTTTAATGTTAACAATCTTAAATATAAAAAAATAATATACAGGGTGATTCAAAATTAAGTGCAATTATTTTAAGGACGTATTAACCAGCTAAAAATATGAAATGTTTTTAATATAATCATATGTCCTAACTTGCTTCGTTTTCTACATACAGGGTGTCAAAGTTTTTTAATCCTCAAAAACCTTTCAGCCGATTTAAATAAAATTTAGTAGGCTTATTTTTGTCATCATAAGGGCATTCTTTTGGTGAGAATAAAATAAATTTATTAATTTCAGTGGAGTCTCAGGGGGCTACCTACTTGATACTTATAGGTAAAATTATGGTATGACTACTTTTTTGACAATTAAATTTTTTTTTTAGATTAAGCCGTCAATAATGTAACTTTCTGGCTTAAGCTTTTTCGTATCTACCTTTGTTTCCAAGAACAAAATCAAAATCTGTGCCTGACTCTATTAAAACAAGTAAAAAATTAATTACTAAATGATATAGATTGTCGCCAAATAGATATGTCTTAATTTTTATTTGTGGCGCCTCAAAGTATGATTTTATTTATCATTTGTTTTAATTTTCTAAAAAAAATTGTAACTACTATAAAAATGACTTAAAAAAACCTAGGGGGCTATGACCTTTGTTAGCAGTATTTTCTTTTTCTCCTAAACAATGACACATTTGTTATTATTTACGTTTTGGTATTTACAGTCGGTTTGGTTATTTTTGTGTTGTTTTTCTTTTTTTTGTTAACAATGGAAAATAAACCATTTTCGTTCGAGCACATTGCAGATATTCATTTTGTTTATGGTCTGGCTGATGAAAATGCGCTTGAAGCTCGTAGGATGTACTCGTTAAGATTTCCTCTTCGTCGGATGTCCAACTGCAGAACTTTCAGCAACTCTCATCGGCATCTTCGGAAATTTGGAAGATTCCAAACTACCAGAATGAATGCTGGTAGTCCACAAAGTGGTGACGGAATAGGAAATTCTGCAAGTAATTGAGGAGAATCCTGCGTTCAGCACGAGGTAAATTACACTGGATTTAAACCTTCGCCAATCGACAGTTTGGGGGGTTTTACATGAAAATAGTCTTTATCCATACCATATCCAGCGCGTGCTGGGTTTGCTCCCATGCGATTTTCTTCAGCGAGTACAATTCTCAAGATGATTACTAAATAATTGTGCCAGATATCCTAACTTTTTATATCGCATCTTGTTTTCAGACGAAGCCCAATTTACCCGTGATGGGGTCATTAATTATCATAACATCCATGTTTGTGCAATGGAAAATCCCCACAAAAGTCGACAATTGAACCATTAAGAACAGTTTAGTTTAAATATTTGGGCAGGGATTGTTGGGGACTTTTTAACTGGTCCATTTATTTTCCTCGAACTTTAAATGGTGATACTTACCTGGACTTTTTACAAAATATTTTACCCGGTTTATAGGAGGATGTGCCTTTAAATATTCGCCAAAACTTTTATTTTATGCACGATGAAGCCCCCCATTTTTGAATAAATGTCCGCTAATATTTAGACCTTGAATTCCCCAGATGCTGGATAGGCCGAGCAGGTCCAATAGCGTGGTCACTGTGTTACCTAGACTGTACCCCGTTAGATTTCTTTTTATGGAGCTATCTTAAAAGCCTAGTGTATGATGCAGGACCAGTTCCTTCCATTGAAATTCTACAACAAAGGACATTTAATGCCTTCGAAGTAGTCAGAAACACTCCCGGAATTTTTGAGAATGTTCGGAAGTCCATGAGGTGAAGAATGGAGGGTTGTATCGCTGCAGAAGGCAGCCATTTCCAGCATTTATTATGAAAATCTGCTTTTTTATATATGTGTTAAGTTTTAAAAGAAAATTAAAGGAATTAAATAAATCTCAATAATTGATGTGAATTAATTACTTGTTTTAATAGGACCTGGGGCCCTATCCTCGGCTATCGTTTTCTAAAAAAGTATAGACTCTAGCAACATGCGGGCTATTTGCTATTCTCTACAGTCGTTTTAAAAGCGTGTACGTTTTTAAAACGAGTGTTTTACAGCGAGCTGAATTTATCACACCTTTTTGGTAAAATGTGCATGTTTTCAAGGATTTAGCCAATGTCACTCTCGTATATATATATCACTTTTAGGATGATTAATAATATTGATTGTTGATTGATTTTAACAAATTCTAGGTAAACCACTTTTTATTCATACCTACCTAATTTCTTATAAATATGGTTAGCAGTACTAAAAACATTCTAATAGCTGAGGATTTCTTTCAATTATTATTATTATTATTATTATTATTTTTTTTTTAT